AACCCCAAAACCCCAAAACCCCGTGAATAAAATTTAACATTAGATTGATGCATTTTTAGAAATTTAAAGAATTAACCAAGTATTTTTTATCCAATGATCCTATTTAAACCTTATTTAATTTTTGCTATTTTTAGTTTTTATATAAATACTAATTTAGCCAATTGAGGATATAAAAGAACAGGAAAGATGGAAAATATAAATAATAGAAAGTACATAAATACCACAAGAGAGAAATTAATTGGCTTTGTCTGATCTTAAGATAGTTTCGGGCATCCAATTAGTCTGAAATACAGATAGAATTCCACTTTTAAAACAACTTTTGGGGGATTCGTTACTATTGCTTTTAAAATTGGCATTTTAATCTATCTCGTATTTGAACTAATCAAGGTTGTAGATAAGACATATACAGTTACAAATTCAATGATAAAAAGAAATTTATTTGTTGACAACGGAGTATACACAATTAATGAAGAGAATTTTGATATAGGATTTAGTATGTATGGTTTATCTGAAGAATAGCAAGCTAATTTAGATAATTACGTCAATATAACCTTTTAATAAGGCTAATTCGAGTGGAGCGCTGATGGCAAATCTTATACTTTTGAAGGAAAGTAACTTTAACTGGGTATTGCATTAAATTTATTGATTTTCAATTAATTAGGTAAATGTGGAAGACATAGATTCAAAGGTGAAGTGTTTTAAGCTGAGAGTATTGGAATTCCGTATGCCTACAAGTGCCCAGTCAATTTTTCTGCTTCATTGTAAGGGAGTTTTACCACTCAAAAAATGCAATCAGCAAGGCTTCTGATATCAAAATGCAACTAAACAAATCTTAGCTTGAAAAATTAATCAGCAAAATGTATGAATGATAGTATGATGAAAAATTTCTTCGATTCGTTTTAGGTTAATGTGGTAGCAACCAATTAATTCATAGACGTCAATGAGAAATAAATAAGTCCGATCAAAACAGTACTTAAAAATTTCTATGCAACTGGATACCATAATATGAGTCTCTCTTATCAGTTGAAAATAGGACAAAATTTTTTAATTTCTTCAACTTCATCATTATCAAATTAATTGGGTTAACTGAACTAAACTTACTACACTGTTAGGGATGATGTTCTTTAAGTTGCAGCTTAGACATTAAGCACAGATTTGGTTTTTATAAATTTCAACATGATGCTAGACGATAATGTAATGACAACTAATCTTGAACTATACACAATTTCAGATGCTCTCTCAAATACTGGAGGAATTATAGGAATTGTTATGATCATTATTCAATTTCTTGTTTCATAAACTCAAGAAAATCTATACTATCAATAACTAGTTTAAGATATTTTCCAAATAAATAAGGAGGATTCTATCTCTTAAAATGGAAGTCCAAGCAAATCACGTATAATTCCGTCTGAATAAACTTTAAAAGACAAGATAATTTAAGATGGATATTAAGGAAGTTATTAAAAAATTTTGACATTTATTAAAAATTGAGTTACTTTTGAATATTCCTAGATTGACTACATAATTGAAAAAATTAAATGTAGTAAGAAAAATAGGCTCTCAGAATAGATAATTAAGAGGCATTAACTGTATTTAAAAGCCTAGGATAAATTAAATAAGAAATTTGAGATCGTTTAACTTTTGAGGACACAAGTGATAGTTAAATTGATAAAGAAAATAACTTTATCAAAATATTAAAGAAGACTAATTCCTTTTTTCAAGAATTAAGTTCTTAATTAGAATAATGAAGATAAGGTAAAGTAAGATGTTAATATGAAAATAATGAAAATGGAAAATTCTGCAGATCATAAGAAAAGTAAATTTTAGAACTGGGAATCAATGAATAAACATTAGAAAAGCTAAATCAAACTATACCTTAGTTAAATGCTGATGAATAAAGATAAAAACCTGATAGATAAAAGAATTTATAAAAATCTTGACGAACAATCTAAAACTAAAACTTCTACTGAATTCGGCTCTGAAGCAGTATAAGGGAGCATTTTAAAAACATTGAATAAGGAAATAAAATTCAAAGGTGGAATGTCAAGCAAGGAAATTAAAATGTATAATACTGATAATCTAAATAGCTTCAGTATATAGATCGATAAACTTGGTGATAAAAATAGTATACCTAATAAAATAGGCGATTATAAAGTTTAAAATATAGACTCAGAAAGACTTAATAAGACATAAATGCATTAGTAGGATTCGTTGAATGATTTTTCAATAGATGAATATATTGAAAAAGAACTAAAAAATTGAAAGTTAAATTTTGCTGTTATTTTATTATTTCAAAATATCTTTAAGAGTTGATAAATAACTATTACTTACCTCTTTACAATTTAATTAAGCGGGGTTTTGGGGTTTTGGGG